TCTCTAGATTTTGTTTGTGGTCGATGTGGGACTCTATGAGCTTTATTCTAACATTGACATGTGTCGTGCTATGATTGGCCTCCTGGTTGGAGGGAAACTCTTGTACTTCAGTAGGGGTGCCTTAGCATGAACCCCTCAATGGATCCTTGAAGGTATGAAGTTGACAGGTGCTTGGTATTAACCAAAGTCATTTGTGATGGCATGGTTACTTAGTAATAAAGAATATAATTTGTTGGAATGTATGGCTAGGTAGTTAAGGTAGTTACAAGGGTAAGATTGGTTAGAGTTGTTTGAGGGTATTATTGTAATTGAGCTTATCAATTCAGCTCTATAAATCCAAATGTAAACTCCCATTTATGGCATCTAGAAATATACACAAAACTTCATATCCTCTCATATTCTCTCTAAGAGCTTCTTCTTCGTTCTTTCATTGTTCATACATTTTAGAGTAGTTTCGAGATTGGTCAAGTATGGTACAAACAAAGTTCATATGGCATTTCAAAAATTTCCCAAAAAAAAATATAAATATATATACATACGAACCAATGCATGTCATTTGATTCATACTATTATAAAATAGAAAAGTTGTCCAATTGAGACCTTTAAAACTAAATTTGTAAGTTTCAACTACTTTAAGCTCAATTAACGTGCTCAATAATTTAGTGTTCAAGCTTTGAGACGGTTCTCCAATTAATTGGCCAGCAATTCGTTCCCATCTTCAAGGAGTTGGAATTAGTACTATGATCATCACAAACTGCTCGAAGAATTCGTTGCTGCTATTGGTAATTACTCCACACCCCGCCCCAGCCACCCCCCGCGCCCCTGGCTGGAAACCCGTTTTTGTCTTCCTGCAATGCCTTTGAATCATAGTTAAGTGATAGGTAGGCCATTAACATCATCCTCCTCCCCTCTTAATCAACAAACCTTGTTTCATCTTCGTCAATGATCAAGATGGCAACACTTGATGAAAACGACGTGGTCTCCAATTGGCTTTTGTAGTTTTTAGCAATTGAAAAGTTTAGCGATGTCCTGTGAATTTGCCTTTATTCAATTCACCACCTAAATTTAGTTAACGATTATCATCCTCTTAATCTTTTAAAACGTGACAATTTATCCGTTATTGCTAAGTTTGTCAAATTTAAGATTTACTTTCGTCAACTCAGGGTAGCTAGCCACACCACACCACCTCTATTACTTCATGTGTTAGTCATACTGACCTCACATTGATGTCAACTTCAATTTGCTTTTCTGCAAATTATTTTCTCTTGTTGCATAATGATTTCGTCACCATGATGGATCCATTTGCTTGTATTGCTTCCAAAATGTGACCACTTTCAATTTTTATTTGTTTTTTTAATAATGCAAGTGTTGATAAGCGGTACATATATTAGTGGTGGGAACATGTCACATTTCAGATAACATTATTTTCATCAATTGGTATTGTATATCTTTCAATCCAAATCCCAATCTTCATCTTTATTTTTCTGGAACACACAATTAAAAACTCGGTGGGATCCCCATGATTTGCTATTGGCTTCCTAGGAAACTAGGGTTTCATCTCCAGAAACAATTTCTGAACTGGTGGAAGTCAAATTAGGGTTTCATTTCCACAACGTATCCTAAAATTTGCAGCTCAAATCAATTTCAATGGTCTCAAAGTTTCTGTCTATGGACTCTTCTTTTTTGTGCATTTTTTTTCAATGCGAAGAAAAACGAGACCAACGTTTGGTCTTTAAAGGCAGAATTATTAGTATGCTTGTGCCATTTATGACATGGTTTGAACGCGTATTTGTATTCATCATCTGCAGGAAAATGTCGTTTTACATTGACATTTTGAGTGCATGATCTCGATTTTGACATGTTTATGAGTTGTTTTGTTTTGAATATTTTCAGGACCAATTAATTTCTAGGTTTTTTGGAATTTTGCAAAGGTAGGTAGTGGCCTGCCTAATAAGCCAGATTGATTAGAGAAGTCGAAGCAAAGGGTTTGGACTTCGGAGTAGTACATGCACTTGATTGACCCACGTAATGTAAACCATTAGTCTATGGAGATGAAACTTCTATGCTAATCCATCTGATTAGTTAGGGTTTATTTTAACTGAGATTCATGGAACAAAGCATGTTGATTTAACTTTTTAATTAAGTCTCCGTGGAACTTTGAAATGGTCACACAACTAACAGAATTATAAAAAAAAAACCCAAAGACAATGAACTTTGTTTATTAGTTTGAGAAAAAAAAAAAAAAAAGTGAGAGTTGGAGTGGAGATTCATGGCAACAAAATCTTCTTAATATAAAAAAGAAAAAGTAAACAACAATTAACCCTTTTTTTATCTGGTCAGATTATTCAGTTTGGGGAGTTTTCTTTGCTTAAGATGTGAAAGCAATGTAATACTTTTTATGACAATCAAATATGTCACCATCTTGCCAGCTCCGGGTCGAGTAGATTGGAGTAGGACTCTCCCTCTCTCTCTCCTCCAATTCCCTTTTATTTGAACTGTTATAATTAAGTCACGTCAACATCTTGTGTTGATTTTTTTATAAAGAGATAAAGAAAAAGAGGAAAGTGAGAGAGGAGGAAAGAGGAGGGGAAGGGAGGGATTTGAAGGAGAAAGAATCCTACTCTAAGTAGATTAGATCGCATTTTCTGAAAATAGCTACACAAAAGCGAAACAAACAAGAGCATAAACCATATGTGATGACTCATATGTGAATCTTGTTAATTTTGGGAAGAATTTAGGGAAGGAAGTGGACAACGATGACAAAATCTGACATGACCAATACACTGGATTCTAGTGAGATTGCTGAACTTAGTGTTCTTAGGTTTTTAAGATGTGATGTGAGACAACTATAACATGTCTGGTTTTTTTTTTTTTTTTTTTCGGTATCCAAGGCTCGAAGGCCAGGGATCAAACTCGATGTTTCGGTTCATGCCCTTGATTACGGTTTGGAAATTCAGGGCAAACATTTTGTACTTGTTGCTGGCAAAGCTAATACACAGCTAGGAGAAGCTCTAAGTTGTGCTGTTGAAATGCTAGGCATGCTATTGTTGAAAATATGGTAAATATAAAGGAATAAATGTAATTTAATATTTTAATCAAGGGAATTGTACTATGAGTGGAGTACTGGTTCAGTCTTGATTTTTTCTATGCCTTGTACGAAAAGAACTTCAATATTTTCTTAGTGAATGCCAAAAACTCAAATATCAATTGATAAAAATTGTCTTTGATCAAATTATAGTGACTACCTTGTTTTCAAACATAGAAACTAACAAAAAGCTTACAAACGAAATGTAAAATAACTAATATTAAGAACAACATGCAAGCGTCATATAATATAATACAAAACTTGATGAGTCACTTGAGAAGCGATTCAAGTGGATATAAAGAGCGTCGAGTTGAAATATGAGCTTATTGGGATGAAAAAAGAGAGGTTGCTTCCTTCAAAAAGAACTTTAGTTGGGACGAACAGAGCAATAAATCGAAGGATCAAAGTCTTGAGAGAAGGTTTTGATGGGGTTAGGAGCGTATCAAGTACAAGAGAGAACTCTTGATTAAGCTTCAAATCAAGTTTGATTAACCCTCAATCATGCATAGAGCATCTTGCATTTACTGTTGAGCTGGTTTGGGCCGTGGGCTGCTTTACCGTTCAATTACTATTTTGTACTCGGTTGAAACGCAAGCTCAGTCCACAATGAAACTCGAATTCCTTTTTAATCAGTTCCTTTTAACCTATATAGAGGCACGTCTTCTAAATTCTAATACACAACCAGTTTCATGGACTACCATGCATGCATGGTAGGGAATTTGCATGCATATATGGCGCACTCTGCAACATTTTCTTATAATTCAAAGAAAAATTCCAAAATAAATATATCGAGAAGTATGAGGCCAAAATAAATATAGCTTAAAGAAATGGCAACCTCATCACAACGAGAAATGATGATATGAAGAGGGAGGCAGCCCCTCCTACTCGCCTACGGAATAATGTTTATGGGGGACGTTATAATGTGTACAGCACATATCAAGATATATACAAAAGTTAGAAACCACCACCGCAACCTACAGCAATTATATAAACACAATAGCTAGACCAGCACCAGCCTCTCCCTCCCTCCATCTTTTTTCACGTGGCCGGCACTTGTATTTTCAATGGATTTATCCTCATTCGAACGTGAAGCCAAAGGGAACTCTTCCCCACCCACTTGTGAAATATTTAGTTTGCAAGATTTAATAAATCGACCTAATTTGCAATTTCAGTGTTCATGCATTAATATGAGTCGACATTTTAGGCGTAATTACAGCTGAAATTCAAGTTATTAGTGTGCAGCTGCAAATTAGGTAAAACTTTGGTATTTTATCGTCTGACCATTATTTTCGGATTGGCTCTTATAATTAGCAACGATAATAGAGCACGCATGCATGCCAGCCAGTGACTTCTTGTAATATCTAAACCAGATTAATTAGCGCAGAAAGTTCATACTAATTAATCTTCATGAAAGAGAACGTTCCTGACATAGAACCAAGTTGTTTATGGATAGAACCTGCAGCTATAAGCTACAAAGCTATGTAAATGTATAATGTGTTAATTATACATGCAAACGCAATAACAATGGTGATCTGTCGGCTACAAACAAAACAAAAATATAATTCAAGTTCAAAACTTCTCTCTATAATTTAAATTAGATTATTAGAATATTGTTCAATAAAAGAAAAATGAAATTCACACGCACTGAGCAAATTAAAGGGGGGGCAAATTGCAAATTGCGTTACAAGCATCATATAAATAAATATCGATCATTTCTTTTGCTGCCTTTTGAGGAGGGGTGGGAAGATTAGGGCTGCAGGTACTTATTGGCAGTCAGTTATAGTGGGGACTCCCTCTCGTTGTGAGCAACTGACAACTGGCATTGCCACTTGGAAGTACAATCAGTGCAAAGAGTATAAAGAGGGTTGGGGATGACTTGGGATTTTGCATTGAGCTCAAGTTCATAAGGCAGAAGATGGAAATTAAGGCTAGTGGTTTGTTTGGAGTTTTTTTGGGTCTTGCTTTTGTGTTGAGTACATCTTCGGTTGGTGGGATCAAAGGTTCTGATGGAGTGGATGGTGGCATTGCTGCGATTAGTAATGCTACTACTACCGTTGTTCACAAGCTGACTACTTCATCTGGTGATGAAGGTTTGGACAAAAGCAAGAACTATCAAAATGGAGGTGGAAGTGGAGGCGGTGGCGGAGGTGGAGGTGGAAATGGTGGTCAAGGTGGGGGAAGTGGCGGAGGAGCAGGTGGTGGGAGTGGTGGGGCTAGTGGAGCTGGCAAAGGGAAAGGAAAAGGTAGAGGCCACAAGAGAAGGCATGGAAAAGGAAAGGGTAAAGGAGGAGGTAGCAGCGGAGGAGGTGGCGGTGGAGGAGGCGGAGGTGGAGGTGGAGGGGGTGGAGGGAATGGTAAAGGCCACGGATGGGGTGGAGGAAGTGGAGGCGGCGGTGGAGGTGGCGGAGGTGGTAGTGGAGGTGGTGGTGGCGGTGGCGGAGGCGGGGGTGGTGGTGGTGGTGGAGGAGGAGGAGGTGGTGGTCAAGGCGGAGGTTGGGGTTGGGGAGGAGGCAGCAGTGGAGGTTGTGGGCCTTGGGGTTGTGGCGGCCATCCGAAATCAATTGGAGGCAGGAAAGGAAACCCTTGAGGAAATGCAAATGGGTTGGCCATGCACACTGCATGGACCATCAACTCTGTAAAAGCGTGCAAGATATTGGACTCCAAATCACTTTCTTCAATAGAGTGAGAGAATGCCATAAAAATATACCGTTAAGAAATTTTCCGTTAAAAAGCCTTCTAGTGAGTATTGTGTGTATGTTTGTGTTGTACAATTTTTGGTGATTGGCCAAAACACTGGTGCGAGAAAAAGTATGAATAAAAAGCTTATCACTTTATGTGCTCCGTATCTCTCTTTTTTCACTGTAATTAGAGCACAACTAGTGCACCAAGATTTCCTTGCTTTGGGAAGAAGTGGACTCTGGTCTAACAGCCTAATTGAAACTGCTTCTGATTATGTTTGTCCGGTACTTCTTTATATGTTTAACAATAAGAATTTCGACATGTTCAATAATAGTCTAATGAAAGCACTTATGGGCATAACGGTTCATATGGAAAGTCCCAAAGTAACCCTTACAAAATGAAGATTGCATTGATCCCAAAAAGGGCTTAGGGTCACATCTCTCTTGATGGTCATTCGGCATTTCCATTCTTAAATGGGCTTAGAACCAAAAGAAATGGGCTCAATGATTGATAGGACTACGGATTTAAAAATGGGTTATGTGCATAATAGTAACTAAGATCATGGTCCAGTAGTATTTATTTTTATTATGAGTTAGACGGTGCATTTTTCTTACTACCGCAATGTTTTATGTGAGATGAGCGTGATTTACTACGTACAACTTTAAAACTTAAACTCATCTAATGGTAACTAAGTGGTGACGCTCATCACCATTTAAGAGTACTAAGCATAAGTATTCTGGTAAGTAGAATGTCTCAAGTTCTATTCACATTTTTTTTATTAAAAAAAAAAAAAAAAAAAGGGGACCATTTGGTGGCTTCGCCACTATAGTCCACCATTTTGGGGCTAGGAAGACTCATAAAGGCATTTCAACCTTCTCCTAGCTACTATCGTGTGACCCTAAGAATTGAACCTAAGACGTTCCGTATGAATTACTGGTGTAGAATTCATCCCCAACCATAAGCCACATTATTTTGACAAGCAAAACATTACCCCCTAAAGAAAAAATAGTGAAACAAAGCTTTCTGTTCTTATCAGACTAGCACGGGAGTCGTAGTAGACAGCAAAGGCACATGACAGATTGCCAGATTCAAGTTATAGTAACACAATTATGCTATTATAATAATTCCTGATGAAATATCTGTTTAACAAGATTTGGACTTCTATACTCGATAAATTAGAAGTATTGACTTGAAAACTTCGATGATGTTATCTTATCAAACCAATAATATATTACCAAATTTTATGGACATATTGACTTTATAAACCAACCATTCGTAAACACATGATTCGATCATATTTAAGGAAAGGTTCACATATGTGGGACATTCCTGTGGTTAAATCTACTTATCTTCTAACCAAATCCGAAGTAGGAGCCTGTTTAGCTCCATGGCCGTACCATCCTACTTCGCAAATTGAAATGCTCATTGCATTTGGCATTCCCATTAGGTCATTACTGTTAACAGAAACTGCGTGGTACGTGAACTTTGCTACGTAGTATAATGGGGTCACATGTTATGTGTTATAAGTGAATAGATGATGAGTTTTATACTTTAAGGTATAGAAACTATATTCAAGGATGGATTCATTAAAGGGAATCAAGATCCTCTTTGGATCTTTGTGTTTAGTCAGACCTGAAAATCTGGACTACTCAATTTGTACTTGTGCGGCCCTTATTAAACAATCACACTGGCCCACCCACACCAAACCAAGCCCTTGAACAATCTCTCTCTTTAACAGTCTGAATTTCTCAGTCCGTTGGCTCTGGACACAGAGATCCGAAGAGAATCTTAATTCCATTAAAGGGATGTACGGGGTCCTGGAACCCTACTAAAGCTTTAGAAGGTCCTATAAGAATCCTACAGGAATCCTATGGGGACTCTTTTGTACAGTTAGATTTCTTTTTCAAATAACCTAAACAAATAACGACAAGCCTCCACCAAATGTTATAAACTAAATGCCTCACTGATATAGTCCATTCAAAAAGATCTTTTGCACTATTATGACCCCATGAAATATGAATCCTGAATCAACCACTATATTATAATATGTATGTGGATTGGTAATGTCATGCGACGTGTTCAAATACTACACAATAATGTCTTCGTATCCACCGTGCTACCAAAAAGTCTTACCACTTGGCTTGCTAGATAGGCACCACACAAAATCAAATATCAACTTGCACATACGCATTCAAATTATTAATTCAGTAATGTAAGTCTACGTCCGAGAGCAAAGATAAACACATGGTATTAAGACTGAACAGGACCCATGCATTATTTGGATGGGGCTGAAGCTGCTGAACTGATAAGTAAACTCCTATTTGCGAACAGGTATAAATAGTACATGCAAAGAACTAACTACAAGGCCACCAAATGGCTGGTGATTCTTGAACAAACATTATGGTCAAGAAAAGTTGGGTGAGAGGTGGGCACAATCACTCCTCACTACCACCACGTGAATGATATAGATAATGGGGGGAGAGAGAGAGAGAGAGAGAGAGAGAGAGAGAGAGAGGAGCTTTTTGTCTCTGGATTTTTCAAATGGAGGGCACGAGACAAATCCATCCCATGCACCCCACATCACTACTCTTTGAGTGAAAGGCCGGCCCAGAAATTTGACAACTGAATGTTGCTATTTCTAACACAGATAAATATATTTAATTAACCTAATTTATTACTACTAACCACACATCTGCATCACCATCATCATTGGTTTTTATGGCCTTTGGAAGTAAAAGAATACTAGATTTTTTTTTCTATTTGGAATTTGACAAATTTTCTGTTATCAAAGGCATCAAACTTATTCAAATCTCGTTGATCTTATCATTCTAATCGTTGGATCAGTGCCTCACTTTTCCCAACAACCAAAAGAAAAACATAGTGCTATTCAATCAAATAATCTGATTTTTGTTAGACTTAACCTCCTTCCTAAATAATTAGAGTTAAACTGACGCAGTTTCTTGTTTGATTGTGTGTTTATATACTACATAAAACAATTTTGCATAATACAACTTAACATGCACGCTACTCTATTTGATACGAGAATATACCGCCGGCATGTCAGTCTATCTAATAAGAGGGTACGTATAACTCATGATCTTATATATACTTGATCAGTTGTTCACTTTTTGGCTCATGATCATGTTCATTTTGCACGTCAAGATACTTCGTAAAGCTTTTGTGGCATGGAAGGCTCAGAATCAGAAGGTCAAAACCCGAAGAAAACCCGAAGGCGTGCAAGTCCTACACAAGTGGACAAATGCATCCGTCCTTAATGTTGCACTATTATAGATGTTTGAGAGTGGTTGGAACTGGTGGGAGATGGTCATCACGTAATTGCCACTCAACAATTTTGGTAGCGCACCCAATTTTTTTCATGCCATTTTGCCCACACTTGGTATTTCGTACATCTTTAGGTTTTGTGGCAGTTTGATTTTGGTAGAACCCGTCTCGATTTTCATATGCTTATTATGGCTAAGAAACCATGTGATTTTACACCTGCTGCCAAACTTTTTAAAGCACAATTCTACAAGATTTTGTTAGGTAAATGTTGCTACGAAACTATTTGAACTTTAATTATTGATCACGTACGTTAGTGGAGTATGCCACTATTAGAGAGTCGATCAGAAAGGTGGACAACAAATCCAAATTGCATAGCCATTATTAGGGAGTTGATCAGTAAGGTGATCAATAAATTCAAGTAGCGTTATTCTGCCATGAATGTATATGAGAAGAAAGTAAACCATTTCAATTCCTAACTTACTATATGTTTACGTTAAAAAATAAAATAAAAAAAATCAGCAATCTCGCCTTAAAAGTAAAGATTCCACAATTAGGAGGGAGTACTTATCCAATCCTCATCCTTATTTCCGTCGTTCTTAACTTTCCTCATTCCTAATAAGTAAGCATGCAACAACTTACACTTAAATATTGAAGTAATGAAAATGGAGTGCCAGCAAAGGCAATTCCTTAAAAATGGCTATAAATATTATAAATATTAGTGGATATTGTATTTCCTTGTAAAGATGCGAGAACAAGAAAAGACTTTATATTTGACTCTTGATAATCATGTCTGTGCTTGAGTACAAGAATGTGGTTTCTTCTTCTTGGAATTTAGAATCTGATTATTCAAATAATGAGATGGATACAACCGATGAGCAGACTTGGGTTTGAATATTTAGTTCAATATTAGAGTATTTAAAGTATAGTAGTTTTAAAATCATACGTTCCGAATTCGAAACTTTTTCCTTTTCTAAATTATTGTAGTAGTTTCGAACACACATTTTCCCTTTAATAATATAATAGTTTTAAACTCATACGTTCCGAATTCGAAACTTTTCATTTCCCTAAATTATTGTAGTAGTTTCAAACCCTCATTTTCCCTATTACAATATAATAGTTTTAAACTCATACGTTCCGAATTCAAAACTTTCCATTCCCTAAATTGTTATAGTAGTTTCGAACCCTCATTTTCCTTTTAATAATAATACATTTTAAAGTATTTAATGTATAATTAACTTGCTCATTGTGCGATACAAAAAACAATATTTAGCTCAATATTATAGTATTTAAAAATATAATTAACTTGATTGTGCTACTATGTATGTAGAGAGAAAAACAATATGTAGTTTAATCTTAGTTTAATCTTTGCTATCTAATTAAATGACACACCCCGACCGAAATCAATGCGTGTTGGCCCATGGGAGTTCTCGTGTGAGTTCCCAGAAACAAAACCGTGAGGGCATGATCAGGGCTCAAAACGGATAATATCGTACTACGGTGGAATTGAGCTCGAATTATGGTAGGGACCCAGACCGAGATGTGATATTAAATTATAAACCGGCCAGCGGCAAAGTTATATACAAATTAGAAGAAAAATAAATGGTGACTGAGGACAAATGGATGTACAAGTACTGACGACAAATGGCAAGCGCAACGTAAACTGGATATTCCATATGAAACCCACATGGCATCCTATTCCCGCCAGCAACAACGCAAGTTTGAGGTCTAAATATTTGAACATTTTCTCTGCAGTTTTTAGTACCCACTAAAACATATTATATATATGAAATGGTAAATGCATCTTCTTTATAAATAAATAAAAACGAAAAGTGATGTACCTATCATATCCCTCAAGGTCAAGGATGTTTTTAACTCTGTATTATCTCATTGTTCAACGTTAATTTACGTATTAACATTATAAAATGTTATGTCAAAAGTATGAGATGACTGAGCATTCATAAAGAGTTTCACATTAAGAGAATCTCCTTTACATTTCTCTGTAAAAGATTCTTACAACTTGCAATTATAGAATTTGAGGATAGAGCTTATGGTATATGTGTATGTAATTAGTAATTCTTTGTGCAGTCTAGACAATGGTAGTAAAACTTAACCGCAACTAAAAAACTTTACATAAAGTTAACTTTTAACTAGACATTCGTTGTTTCAAGAAACCAAAGCTAGACACTCATAAAATCAAGATAAAATGATTGACACATACTCATATCACAACTTTTTTGTTACAATATAAAAGAATTAAACTTTTGGTCTAACTTAATTCTGACCCATTTTTCCGTCATTCTTACCTTCCAAACTAATGCTAGGGCTAACATACCGGCAACTTTAATGGTCTGGGTTTAGCCTCATATCCCTCTTGACATATTGTATTTTTCTTGTTTATCAATAAATTCTCCTCAAAGTCACTTCTCATGATAACAATGCTAGAGTGGGAGGGACTTTACGACCAAATTAAAAAATAATAATAATAATAATAATACCGGCAACTTTTGTAGTTACTCAATGATATTCCTATTGCAAAACCAAAGTATTTTAATTTGATTTAAAGGGGTATCGGTTTTGAAATCAAGAAAGGATTAGTGAGCTTTTTTCTTTTTCTGTGTGCTTGTAAACAAGACTACCAACATGGAATGATGATGAGTCATGGCTTGGTGGTAATTATGGTTGTCACCACTCAAGTGTGTGCGCGCGGCACCCTCATTTAAATTCTGAAGTATGGCCTGTGACTGGTTGAAGGCCTTTGCCTTATCGACTGACCTCTGCCCACCTGACATTGTAGCCTTTAAAGCCATGAACACAAGAATATTTGTTGCGTTACTGAGGAGAAAAACTTGAGTTTGAACACATCATCCATAAGACAATTCTTGCAAAATCATAAACCCCATGTTGCTCTGCATTTTGATCTCATCCAACTCGGTTACCCGAGGTGGATTAGTAGGACAACCATGTGAAAATTTCATGTAGCCGAGGGTAGACCAAATCATCATTTTGTTCACACTCGACACCGCACTGGTTCAATATGATGTGAGATTTACCATTCAACAGTTTCTCTTGTTATAGAGTAGACCAAGTTTCGTGACAAGTGTTGTAGACACAAAAAACATACCGGACCAGGACAGATTTTATCTCACCAAAGAAAATTTCAGAACCAAACAACCAAACCTGCCGATAAATATCTCATGAGTTCATTGTTACGTCCAAATACCCACTGTGGAAATGGGGATGGCTCCAAATCAGCACCAAAACCCAAAAAAGCAAAACTCCTACAACTCTTTCAGAACATTGCAGGAAATGAAGCGCCCACTTTCGAATCTAACGGTCAGGATTCAGCATTCTGCGTGCAGATTACGCCACTTGAAAATATGTCGTTTTGGGACCCTTTCTTTCTCTCGTCCCGTGGCGCGCTTCCTTCATAACATTTTTGCTTTCCAACGGCCACCAAATTAAAAAAGTTGAGCGGTTTCAAAAGGGTCGGTTAGACCACCAAATCCTCCTTTCCCTCTCAAAAAAAAAATAAAAAAAAACTAAAAATTAGAGAAAAATTAAGTTTAAATCCCACAAAAACACGGATTTAGCAAATTAAACCGACAAAGAATATAATTTAAAATTAAGTACATATTAAGTAAACTAGTAAATTCTCCTGCCTAATCAGTTACATCCCCTACAAACCTACCGCACCCACCACCATGCAAGAAACGGAAAAAATGTACACTAACTCGGCCTGTTAGAACCGGGTTTAATCTAACCCCGGTTCACTCTGTCCTCTCTTCCCTACTTGCTAACTAATCTTTCAACCTTTTTTAGTGGAACTACTTCCTAATCAAAAACTGGGCACCACCGGAGGTCTGGTCAAACCGGGTTCGGGGGTGCCCGGGCCTTCCTTCTTCCGCCGCATCTCTAGAACTTTGCGGTGGTGGTTGGAGTGCAACTCGCTCGAAAACGTCGGGCTGCATGCGGGACGGTACTCCGGCAAGAGCCGGCCCGACTTGTACCGGACCCCGCATGCGTTACAGAGGGTCTTGGCTCCGTTTGGGCCGGTTCTCCACTGAGGGGTTTTTTGGACCCCACAATGGCTACACCGCCGCGGCGGCTGGCTCGAACTTCCGTCCACCAGTCGTCTCTTCGGCTTCTTCGGTGGCTTCTCCACGGACAAGACCGGTTCACCCGGTTCCTGGTTCTGGGTGGCAGGGTAAATGAGCCAGGGGTTCGAAGGAGAGGAGGAAGACGACGACGAACTCGAACTCGAGGACTCCGTGAGCGACGGCGAGCCAAGTGACCAGACCCGGCCGCCGGTTCTGGTCCGCTTGCTTCTAGCCTTCGCCGGAACCGGAGTCTTGAAACAAGGCTTTTCCGGGATAGCGGTTTCCGGGTCGGGTCTCTTCTCGGACTTGGGATTCTCTGGCACGAACCCGGCCGGAAGGGCCGTCGCGAATTCCGAGAAGGAATCCTCGACGAAATGAGACAACCATTCGAGGTTCACCAAGTCGTCTGCCTGTAAAAAAAACGTAGCTTTTGGTCAAAAACCACGAAAAGCAGTAACGAACACCATTCTGAACACGGAAATTTGAAAAAATAAGTACCGGAACGCTGAGTTCGCTCGCCGGTTCATTTTTTTCCGACAAATTGGGCTTTTCCGTCTCCTGGTTCTGCTTCTGGGGAGAAAGAGAGACAACGGCCTTGACTTTTTCCTTATCGTCTTCTTCCTCGCCCTCCGTTTCAAAGAACCCGTTTTCGTTCGAGAAGTCGAGAAGGTCGTCGACTGAGAAATCGTCGCAAGCGTTTTGGCCGTTGACGACGGCGCTGCCCCACAAGAAGTCGTCAAAAACCACCGCCTGCGGGCCGTTCACCTTCACGGCCATCTCCTTCCTAATACTCGTCTTCAGAGCCGCTTCCACGCATTCCATTTCAGTTCCAACCTATGAAAACAAAACCAGAAAACCCCAGAAACAAAATAAAGCAACATTCTTTCTTCAATTATTTTGGTTTTTTTTCATACAATTTGAAAAGAAATCTCAATTTTTTTTGTTAAGTACCTGTTGGGGAGGGAGAGTTGGGAGGAGGAGAGCAGAGGAGGAGGAGAGAGAGGGGAGAGGTTGAGGTTGAAGAAAGGATAGAACAAGTAAAGGGGGTGAGGGATGAAATTGGAATAAAAAGGGGAGGGTGAGTTTGGTAAAGCATTGAATTAGGGCTGAAAGCGTCCGTGGACTATTACTAAAAGTGCCCGTTTCTTTCTCGTTTTTCCATCTCTTTTAATTTTTTCACTCGTAAGTGAGATATATTAAGTTTGATTTTCGTCAAAAATAAATTTGAATCTTATTATTATTAAAATATTATGAAACTAAACTTACCATTCTCCTTTAATAAATATAATATCTTTTGTTCAAAAAATAAATAAATTTACCCCTTTTTTCTTTATGCACCCTCACACTTTATACATCCACCCATTACTGTTCTCTATATTTAGACCCTTTTGAATACATTTCCAATCTCTGTACCATTTTTTTTTAATACATCAATATTTTTACACTAAAGGAAATGAAAGTTCAGCTAAACCACACAATGGGCAACCTAATTTGGTATCGAATTCGCTATCCACGAGATTCGAACCTAAGACCTCTCACTTTCAAGTGAAGAGGAATATCATCAGACCGTAGTATTTACTGGTTCCAATCTCTGTACCATTAAATCGTACAGTTTCAATTAATGTTTTTAAAAGGAAAAACAATTCAATCGAAAAATATTATTTACTTGTTTAAAATTACTGAAAGTGATTTTTATAAAAATATTTTTTAAATCAATTCTGAGTTAAACAAAAAAAAATTGAAGTGGGTACTGAAAAAGTACTTTAATCAAAATCACCAAAATCAATTTTATCAAAAACGTTTTTAGGTCATCTCCAACCGAAGGCTGGGGAGATAGCTCGTTTTAGTCCTATGGTCCTCCAAAAAATTAATATTTTAATGAACAATGCCGAGCCATATTTCTTACCATTTCCAATCGAAGGGCCAGAGGGCCATAGGCCAAACATGGCCCTGTGAATAAAAATAAAAATAAAAATAAAAAAACCATCTCCAACTGAGGGTCATAAGGCCAAACATAATTTATTATTTTAATTGAACTACTATGATTACTTAAATTAAATTACCTCAATAATTTTATGTTATGGATTGTCAATAATTTTCATATTGTTAAATGTTTTAAAAAAATGTTGTTTAAGTTTCATGTTGTTAAATTTTTTTTAAGTTGTTTAATGTTAATGTTTATTTAATGACTTAGAAAGTTATAGGAAAAAAAATAGAATTTTTAAATTTTATAAAAAAAAAAAAAATCAAATATGACATCAGCATGTGGCCCCTCCCGGGGTCGCCCGGTTAGCCCTTTGGCCCTTTTTTGTCCAGTGGGGTCCACGAGCCCTTTGCCCTGGCCCTCGGTTGGAGATGATTTTCGAACTATTTCCAGCCTTTTGACCCTTTGGACCCTTCGGTTGGAGATGACCTTAGTCATTTTAAAAGTATTTTTGAACGAGCCCTTAGTCTATAAATTTTTTAATATGACAAACGCAAATCACATAATGTGTTTATATATTTAAAAAAAAACGTAATGATTAATGTCTCTAATGGATGCGAATAGAAAATGAATTTACAAGTTATAATTTAAATGAGCCGGTAATCATCCACATCAAGTCCCAATGCTTTGTTCATATTATTCAGACATTCGTTATAGAAACATATTGTTCACACTTTTGTGTGAAACTATAAGTAGGATTTAAACATGTTCTAACTAAGCGAAAACCGAGTGCCGCTAAATCAGATATATTTTGTTCTTCTTTTTTGGGTTTTGTACAAAATACGGTAGGCCACCATATCCACAAACACCACCCATATTTTATAACTTCCATTTTAGTGTATTTTTTTCCTAATTTTTTTATTTAATTTTGGATAAGAATTACAGGGTGTTGGTGGGAAATCACGGGTACGTCAATGCCTAGGAAACAGCCACCTTTGTTGTATTTTCTTCCCTTTTATCTTTTTACTTTTCTTCTTTAATAAGCAAAGAAATAAAATTACCCCTTACTTTGGCCCAAATTACATAATTTGCCTACCGCGTTAATCGCCGCTCATCTTGGTTGATCACTTGGAAGTTTTTGTTTCCGCGCTCTCTGTTTTCAAGCTTTATTACCAGTTCAACCCCTAAATTACGCTTTGCTTGTGTTCTTTTTTCTTTTAATTTTTTTCCCACCAAAACTTTGTCGTTTGAGAGCATACCACGGAATTCAATGCGACTTGAATCTTCTCTACACTGGTTGAGATTTTGGTTTAAAGTTGACATTTTTGGTAGCTGTTAAATTATATTTCAGTTTTTAAATAAATACGTGCGTAACGATCTCATTTTGATTAACGACTTTGAAAAGATTTCATGTGTTTGCACTTAGCAGATAATCGTTTTATCTCGTTTCAAATTAATGATTTCGACAACCCTTTTTCATCAAGGTTTGATTAAAATTTTAAGAAAAGAAAGAGATTATAAGTGTAGTTATTTTCTTTTTGTTGAGGAAAGTAACATTAATTGATTTGAAAGAAAGGCGTACAAAGAGAGAATAGTGTGATATACAGTTGACCATATTTAAATTTCGTTTTAGTTAACGGTCCAAATTTACCTTCATCGACAAGTTATTTAGTTTTATGTTTACTCTTTGATTATTCTTTAAGTGAGACAATTCCTTATGAACTAATTTTTGTATACACCTGATAACTACACACTAATATTTTATCATTGTCAAGATGACTTGTAGCATGCGCATAATTAATCCAATACGGCAATACCCAATCGTCGGTATTGGCACATAGGTACCATGCATGCTAAGCTATCATTTTGACAATTCTCGTTGAAATTTCTTAATAATTTTGAATGATTTTGATTTTTTTTCTACGGGTTGAGTTGAAATTGATTTTTCTGTCAAATTAAACTAATAGTTATCATGCAAGAAGGTAAACCTTCTAGGCTTCTTGTATTATTATTTTTGACTTTTACCCTAACATTTCATTTTTCTCGAATATTACTTTGCACACTAGAACAATGATGCGAAATGCAAGCCAAAATATTTTACAAATAATAAGATAAATTTGCGTCGTATCTGCATGTTTCAAAACCATGATCACTTTCTATGAACAATGTTAAATACAATACAAGAACAAGAACCCTTGGAGGCTTCGAGTAACAATGCGTTGGTGGGTTGGTACGTTGGTGTGTTGGTATCAAAGATGAGTTTGATTTTTTCAAATATCCTAATAATGGTTTGGCAACAATTGATGCACACCTCTTTTCTTCTTTATGGAGATACGCTCATTTTCTTCTTCTGTAGACCCATATATTTATTTCTATCATTTGAATCAAGATGTATAAAATAAAAAGGTATGCATAAAAGTTAAAACGAACATATGAGAATCACTTCTCAAATGATTTACGAGTTTAAATTGATGAATTATTGTTTGACAAAAAAAAAAAAAAAAAAAAAAAAAAGAAGAAGAAGAAGAAGAAAGAAGATGAATTATTGCATAGATTTATGTTATTCAAACAATCATACTGCGCCGCTTGTGAGAAAACCCTCCAACCGCCGCCCACTCCCTTTGGGTCTACGGGTAGGCGGCAAACTCCTCCAATTGCTTGCTAGATGGTTGCCTTCGAATGAGAAGACTTATCTAGCCATTGTGTTTGCTACCCACCTCAAGAGTAAGTGGTCACTCACTCATATGAAGATGTGAAAATCACTTTGGTGGTATGGGTCTCTACGCTGCCTCCTTTTGCAATTTTGATTATGTTTTGTCGACTTGCTTTGTTGGTTTGATGGTCCTCAAGTGGTGGACATGGTTGCTAGGTTTGGTTGTTTCCTTCGTTGGTTGAGTGTTTTTTGGAGAAATTTAATGTATTGGTTGTGAATCTTGGATGTTATGAAATTAGGGATTCGTTTTGTTTTTAATTTGGGGTTGCTTTGTATGTGTATTTTGTTTTGGAGCCTTAAGTTTTTGTTGGTGCTGATGGTAAATTCACTGCCCCGAGTGATGGAATGGCAAGGTGCGCGATAGCTGTGGCGATGACGACTTGTGCCAACGGATTAAGTCTGATTAAGTCATTATGTGCTTTGCTTAGGCCTTTTTGACGTAATTACAACTTGTTTTTATGTATATCTCTTGTAACATCTTCATCTATCAATGAAGTTTATGTTTGACAAAAAAAAAAAAAAAATGGAAATGACAGACACACAATCTTTCTTCCCCTACGGACTCATGTTTGATATTGATTAATTTATTATATTCAATGACCAAAAGTAAAGAAAAACATGCAGAAGTAAAAAAACAGTGTGCAATTATCATTCTTCATTCCTAATCGACAAATGCCTTATATTCGTTCCACCATCTTCATAAAAATATCGCTTTTCTAGAAGGTATGAATGAATTATTACTAGATGCATTGCCAGTACTTGTGTTTTAACCCCAAAAAATCATACTCCCTACATAAATTGGACAATAATTTATGAAAGAACCAACTATGAAATAAGATATTTTTCTTAGCAATGGAAACAGTTAGTAAATTTATGCGGACAGGAACAAACTCAAACTCAAAAACTAAAATATAATTTATAATCCATCAAATGCCTGCCCGTTTTGGTACGACCAAATTTATACGATGCCCTTCTGAAACCCAATCCACGAACCCACAATGATCAAGTTCTTCAACGACAGCAGTACGAGTACCAACATACAGACATGGCTTTGAAGCAAAGCCAAAGAAAGTTGATGATGATACGTACCAATGAGTCAATGACATGGCCCCAGCTTTTGTCTCCGAGTCTCCCTCCTCTCATGATTCTTTTCACAAACCAAAAATTATTAAATATTGCTCAAATGATTCCTTATTCTTTTGCTCTCACCCTAGGATTTGTTCCAATTCGAAGCTGAAATTAATTTTTGTGCTTCTGTCTTATTGTTATGTGATATTATTTGAGCACGTCGGTCTTTTATTGTTTAGTTTGTTTTGTGTTTTGTTTTGATTTACTTGTAAAAGGTAATGATTAATTAGGCTGTGGTTGTTTTAGTTTGTCACATGATATAACTAATTAAATTATTGATGATTAATAAATCTAATCTCACTGGTGTTTTTTTTTTTTTTTTTTTCCAAAGTGATCTACTGAACTA